CTTTTATTTCATCAATAGAATGACAGAGGAAAAAAAATCCCAGAATTCATTTTACATAAAATGTAACAATATTATCTATCAGTTACAAGTATCACTGTACATTTAAATTGATACAATTGTCTGATGCTTCCAGGGCCAGTAAGGAATAAGTTGCCATAGTGTTAAAATATCTCAATGGTGAACTATCGGGTTATGATCTTTTAAAGTGCATTTATATTCAAGTCTCATGTGCATATTTTTACACATTTACAGAGAAACGTCATGTGACATTGACTTCCAAAATGTGATCATCTTTGCTGGGAATGACAAGGATTTGCATGCCAGAGCTGGAATTGAAGACCTGTCCAGGGGAAAATGATTGAAGTCGGGGCATGGGCAAACCTTTGTGTTCTGCACTGGCTGTTGAATGCATGCTTCCTCTGCTCTTTATGCTACTGCTGTCAGCTTGATCATCCATATTTTTATCCACAGAGAGATTATCATTTTCAATCCAGCTATCTGTAAAAAACATAAAAAATGTGAAGGTCTATTTCACATTCATCTATTGATATTGTTGATTATAACTAGTTTGCTTGCACTCATAATTAACTAAAATTATCAGAGATTATTTATGAATGCATTTAAATTAACATAAGAAGAAAATCTGACAAATTTATAACATCAATTTCATTAAAAAGAAAAAAAGGCCAGCCAGGACACAACTCTTCTCAATGTTTTCACAGATAAAACTCTGAATGCATCCCCATTGAAGCGTATGAAAAGTCTAAGTTAAGGAGTTCCTGAAACGAGAAGAGCTATCTGTTATAATACAATTTTGTCTTTTAACCTAGTGCCTTAACATGAAGGCAACGTAAATTTCAGGCCACTTACTGAAACTTCTAGTGCAGAAGGAATAATCAGACCATTCCCAACTTTGGCAATTTCCAGGTGTGGTCTTCAAATCCCAGAATTCCACTGCCAGCACAGCAATAGATGAAAAACTGGGATCTGAATCCCTATTCCTAGAAGATGTCAAGATTGGAAAACACTGGATTAAATCAGTCTTTTTACCAGCAAAAGATATATATTGGCAGCATTCAAATAAGTAATTATACTTCATGTACATGTCATCAGAACAATAGGTTTTATAAAGAGCAAGATATAATACCTCAGATGTGATTATTGAAGTCTCAAACACCTACTATTTTTAGTTACTTTTTTGTTGAGTCATTGTTTCGTAGATATTCCTTTACCACAAGGTTGTCAAACTCAATTTCATTGAGGGACACATCAGGATTGTGGTTGACTTTGGGGAGCTGTGGTGGATGTGGCCATGGTGGGCGTGGGTGTGGTGGGCGTGACCAGCTCCCACTGCTGCTCTCCTTGGTCAGGTTGCTCATGGTACGTACAGGTGGGTCAGAGGGAGGCCCATTCCATCTCCTTACGAGGAGACCTGGCTTTGTAACCAAAGCATCCTCAGTGATAGGATGGGAGACCACCAGGAGAGGTCAAGAGGGGACAAGAGGATGGCAAAAGGCAGCAGGGCTGCTGGTGTCCAAGTGTTCAGGCAAGATTTACCTCTGACCCTCACTCTCATTATTATCTTCCTTCCCTTTTTCCTTCTCTCTTCCTTCTTTCTTTCTTTCCCTCTTTGTCCTGTTTTCCCCACTGAAAATAGCTATTTGCAACACACAAGGAGGGGATACTTTCCTAAGAGCTCACAATTCAATAATACCAATGTGCACATGAGGTATCTCAGGGTGGGGAAAGCCATGGGGGGGCCTAGTGATAGAACAGGCCCTCCCACTAAGATACCTCACGCTTCTTACTCCCTTCCTGCAACAAGGACTCACCTTGCAAACATCTATCTCCTCTCTTCCTTTCTCTGTTTCTTTGTCTTTGCTTTAAGGGAGGAAGGGAGAGGACAGTTGGCTGGGAAATGCTTTTTGTGGCAAAAATGGATGTTCCTGGGTGCTATATTGCGCAGATTCAGGCACCTATCCTCTTTTGCAGAGTCAGGGACCCAAAAACTTTCATTCTCAGTGTGAAAAGTGTTTGTCGGTCTCCTGCTCCTCCCTCCCCCACTACTTTCCACTTAACTACTTAATGAGACCTTGTGTCCCACGGAGCAAATGGGAGAGAAAGAGAAATCTAATTGTGACAGAGAGAAAGAGAAATCTAATTGTGTGTGTGTGTGTGTGAGAGAGAGAGAGAGAGAGAGAGTGGGGGGGGGGGGGGGGGGGGGGGAGAAAGAGAGGGCGGGATGGGGTGGGGGGAGGGACGGGGGGGGGGGGGGGGGGGGGGGTGGACTATGAAACAAGGCAGGGGATGCTGAGCACCCAGCAGCCCGGCACTGTGCCTTGCCACTGCAGCGAGAGACAGAGAGAGGGAGGCTCTCCAAAGTGTGTGTGTGTGTGAGAGGTGGGGGAAGTGAGCATGTAATCCCTGCTTTAGTTGGGGCATTTAAGCTGCTGGCAGTGGGGGAAGAGGGCAGGAGCTGCCTTAGCAGCTGTTTTTCTCGTCCTCCTCACTGAAGCAGCATGCTCTGCAGGACAGCAGGGCCTCTCATTTCTCCCCCAGCGCAGCAAACTTCAGCTTCAGTCAGGGAATTTAAGCTGCTGACAGTGGCAATCAGATAATCCCCATTTGCCACCTCCCCAACCAGCCAGCCAGCCAGCTGACCTGCTCCCTGCCGGCTGGTGTAAAGCCTCACTGTTCTTCTCCGCACTCTTCTCCTCCACGCACCAGGGCCATAGATGGGATTGGTTCCTGTACCCAGCCGATTCTGATTCCACGGCCACAAACAAAGCCTTCAACTGAGCAAGGAAACACTGCGGGGCCAGGCCCTTCACACCCGCGTCCAGCCCACCAGAGTTCGCTGCACCGGGGCAGAAATGAGACCCTGTCCTGTGGAACCTGCTGCCGCTTGGGCAGGGAGCACGACGAGGAGAAGAATGATGAAACTTTGCGCCAGCTGGCAGGGAGCAGGTCAGGTGGTGCAGGCTGCCTGGTTAGGGGGCAATCATTAGGTGGCTGCCACTACCAGCCAGTTAAATGCCCCACTTGAAGTTCACCATGCTGGGGAAGAAATGAGAAGCCCTGTTGTCCCACAGAGCCCGCTGCTGCTTCAGTGGGGAGGATGAGGAGAAAAACAGCTGCTCAGGTGGCTCCTGCCCACTTCTCCTGCCACCGCCACCAGCAGCAGCTTAAATGCCCCAACTAAAGCAGGCATTGCACGCTCTCTCTCTCTCATACACACATACACACAGAGAGAGTTTGCAGAGCCCCATACCCTCTGTCTTGGTGCAGCAGTTGTGGCACTTCAGTGCCTGGCTGGTGGGGCAATCAGGTAAGCCGCTGCAGGGCATAGAGGGGGCAGCTCCGCACCCTCCTGCCTCATAGTCCACCAATGCCTCACTTTGTGACCATCGCACCAGTGCGTTGCTCAGCCTCCTACTAGGTTATGGCGATGGGGGTGGAGGACGAAGCAAGGCAGGGGGTGCAGAGCTGCCCCACCTAACCTGCCCCACCCCAGCTTACCTGAGGGCCCTTCAGCCAGGCCAACCCTCACCCTCCCACCACCACCCAGGGCAGCCATATCCCTTCACTAACCTTTCCAGCTCCTTTTGCTGCCGCCTCATGCAGAGCAACTAAAATAGTCTGTGGGACTACGGTAAAACAATAGTTCAGCTTCTCTCACAAAAAAAAAAAAAAAGATCTCGTGAGGTTGGAAGGTCTGAACTATTTTTTTACCCTAGTCCGACAGACTACTTTAGTTGCTCTACATGTGGCGACAGAGAACTGGGCCTGTGCACATGCACGCATGCCGGGATGGTGGGGGCCAGGCCAAAGTGATGCAGGCTGGACCCTTATAGTTTTCAGCATAACCACGTGTGCCGGATCCGGCCTGATCCGACCCGCGGGCCTTGTGTTTGACACCCCTGCTTTACCAGATTCCCCAATGACTTCGGCAATGATGAGTTTTTAATGTTCTGCCTTCACTGGAAAAGTTCTTAAAGATTCAGGGAGGTATTTAGAGATGTAACAGTTCGATGCCATTTGTATTATCACAAACCATTTTATGATAATTTTTGTGTCATAAAATGATTTATAAAATTTGCCAAATTTCAATTCCGTGCGAGTCATATGTCTCAGATTTTGAACACATTCTGTAAATTAGTCTATTTGAAGTACCTTGATTCAAAAATTGTTGTCCTATAATGCATTGGTTTGCCCAGTTAATATGTTTGTTCAAATTAAATTTAGCATTTTCCAGAGAATGGGAACATCCACATAAATATCTATTAACCCAAAATAATGTCTTTAATCATGAAGAATTTTCATAGTGTAATGCTATAAATTATAACTCTATAGAGAAAGGACGTTCTATAATTTTATGTTAGCCCTTTCTCACATAACTTTTAAAAATACACATTCTTACCAGCGTCAAGCTGCATAAAGTGAGCAGAGTGATGGGGGAGATATTTAAATAGTTTAACATCAGGAAAAGGAAGGTATCCAGCAAAGAGGGGCATTACTTCCATATGCACTTTATGGGTTGCTTGAACTGCTACTGGCATAGATATTACCCCCGAACTCTTTCCACAGACTGCCCAGTTACTACTGTCATCCACAACTAAAATAAAGAGAAAATGTTATTCAAAATCAACTATTACTTCAACTAATATGGTATCATAATGTAATACTGGATAACATCCTGTGAAGCAACTTTTGTAGATTGATAACACCTGGTGCTTAAATTTACAGATTTGACATGCTTATAAAAGAAACAATCTTGGAAATATAACATATTTATAAGATTGAATATTCAAGCATCCCTGCCTGTTAAGGAAGTATAAAACACTTCAATCATATAATTATCTCTATGGAAAAACATAATTCTGTTAAAAAGTTTAGGTTATGATTCTACTAGTACTTTTAAAGGAATCTTTTATAAGATTCTTCTCTAAACATCTTCACTGTTCTGTTTACAATGACAACAATCTGATGTAACAATTAAGGTGCTGAGTTAGAAGTTGTAAGACCCGGGTTTCTAGTATTTCCTCAATCTTGAAAACTCATGGGGCAACTTTGCTCAGTTCAGTGCCACCCCACAGGGTTGCTGCTATTGATGAGACAAACAGAAGGACTGAGCACTGTGTACATTGTCCCTAGTTCTTGTACAAAAGGTACGATATAAATCTAACAAATACATGATATCCTGAGATACCAAAAGAAAAGTGCTTGTTTTGACAATTGATGTTAACATGGCTCAGTAAGTTATCAATAAGTAACCAAACTAAATCTTGAGTAATAAATATTCACTAACCTTCATACATCAGTTTGGTTGTACAGTATCCATCAGTTTCTGTTAATGCTTCATCTTTATCCACATCCAGGAGGTCTAAAAGACGGGTAATTGACACTTCCAATGAACAGAGCGAGCCTGTTTTACAATATTCTGCCCCCAATGGGGGGGAAATCTCAGCATTCACATTGTACAATGTCTGACAGGAGTACAATAATATTTATGGTCAACATACAAAAGATAACTTTTTCATACTATTCAAATTGATATGAGATAATCCATTTTTCTGATTGGATAGAACAGCCTAACCTCTGAGTTTCTATAAACACAGCATCAGGGGGGGAAATCCCATATAAGCCAATTTCTTATGTTTAAAACTGACATTTATAAAAATTGCAATGACATCAAACATTTTGCTAGTCACTGCTTTGGTATCCCAAATGCAAAACCTTAAGGGTGATTGCAATAGACAGATGATAAATACTTTGAACAATAATTATATAAAATGCTTTATTGCAATCTTGTATAACTTTGCAACATCAGCAGAAAGTTCAATAAAGATACTGTACTAGAAAACCCCACAGGACTATCATAATTAAATATATATCCTTCTTGATCCTGTAGTTTTAAAAAGCTGCTTGCCATACAAAGACAGAAATAGGGCAAGTATAAAATATAAACCAATACATGATGTCAAGTACTGCAGTGTTAAAATAGCATCTCTATATCAAATTTAATGTAATTTGTTATTTCTTATTGCATCCTAGTGTTCTTACAACAAGGTATTAACAACTTACAAAAAAGTTTTCCAGCTGGAATTCATAAGTGTACGGCTTCAGAGAAAATGAGTGATCCTCAGAGAGTGCAGAACAAAAGTTCATTGAAAATATGCACTGCAATGTTGGGGGAAGCTCTTTTGTCCACTTCAGTTCCCAGACAAAAAATATTGCTTGCTTACTGTAGATGTGCTAAGAAAGAATTTTTTAATTAATATTACATTAGAACTGTAATATTGGATAGCAATGGGTAGAACTGAAATATTTTCTAAATAAATAAAGCAATTATGAGTTCATTTATATATTTTCAGAACCAATGGCTTAACTTAGAAACAGTTAATGTTGGTCAGTTAGGGAAGAGATGTATACTTACAGTAGATTACCTCATCTGGTAATTTCATGTAGATGTTAAATAAAAGCGGGAAAAGATTAGAACACTGAGAAACCTCTTTGTCTTGTCTCCCTCTAAACAACGCTAATTGAAACTGACCACAGAAGCAGAAAGAGAACCATTATAATACTTTGCCACCTCCCAGTCCCCCTGCCAAACCAGTCCAAAAGGATGTCATGACTGATGGTACTGAAGGCTACTGAAAAGTCAAGAATGGTTTGACTGATTGCATTACCTCTATCTAGTCCATCACCAACAAAATCAACACCATCTCAGTACTATATCCAGGTCTGAAAGCCAACTGTAAGCAGATAATCAGCTTCCTCCAGAGCAGTGGTTGCTAACCAGTGGGCCGGGGACCACTGGTGGTCCGCAAGAACATTTTAGTGGTCCGCAGATAAAATTTCCCCCAAAGCATTCCCCCCAAAGCAATTAATCCAGGCTGCGTGGGAACACAAGGCTGCATCGCCTACATGGCCTGCCCACCCGCTTGCCCCCACCCTTCGGCCAAGCGCAAACCTTACCTTGAGTAGAGCCATACGAGCTGGAACTGGAAGGTAAGACCAAAGGCGGGGGAAGGAAATCCGCCCCGGGGTGGCTTGCTGACATTGGTGGGAAAGTCGTTGCTCCGGGATGACCAAAGGGCCAGTCCTGTGACTACTACAGCTCTGGAATATGGGAACGACTTTCCCACCAACGTCAGCAAACCACCATCAGTCAAAATTCATATTAGTGGTCCGCAGGATTTAAAATTATGAGTTTGGTGGTCCCTGAGGTCCAAAAGTTGGCAACCCCTGCTCCAGAGCACTTTCTCAACAACCTTCCCTACTGCCTAACACTACTGGATCAAGCAATGGTTTCTTAAGAAGATGGCACTACTTCTCTAAGAGCTAGAGAGACTACCCCTTCCCTCAAGTATGCATACACCATCATCTCAATTAAATTAAAAATTTCATGAAAGGCCTTAACCCAGGGGTGGGCAAACTTTTTGGCTCGGGGGCCTCATTGACTTTTAAAATTTGACAGACGGGCCGCCACCTGGTGTCGAAATGCCTGTCATTACAAGTCAAAATCAAATGAATGCAATCATTCACATCAAACCGTAATTCTGTACCAATCTTCGGCGGGCCGGATTAAAAAGACCAACGGGCCAGATGTGGCCCGCGGGCCGTAGTTTGCCCACCCCTGCCTTAACCCAATCAAGTGGGACATAGATCTAGTACACAGGTGGCCATACTTACAGCTTAAGTACTCTATCCACTTCCTCAGAACCAACAGGCTCAAACTCTTTCCTATTACTACAGTAACTTTTTTATTATAAATATTCTGCAGAAATATAATCAAATGTTTTACATGCTCCTTAACTTAACTTAAGCTATTCTATATTCTAACACAATGTATACAATAGCTTTTCTGTAGACAATGAAGCAAAAGCAAACTACCTTCTTAAACTTTCATTCTCTTTCTATTATTAGCTATTTGAACTCATGTTTCTCTACATTTTCTGAAGTTGGCTGGCCATTTTTTTCTATTTCTATGTATGGATCTATTCTTTTTTGCAAGATCTTAAACAAAAACTTTGCTAGTGTTTAGGAATTAAATGTTTAGAAATTTACATATTCTTTTTTTAGTATAAATTATGTATGCCAATCTTTCAGTCTCTAGGGCAGACAATTTTGTTCTTTATTTGTTGAAAAAGTGCAATTAACATTAGCCTTTTAATTTCTTCTTGTCCTAAATGTTTAAGTAGTTCAGTGGACTGAAAATAAATGTATTCTAATAGAAAACTGCAATTCAAATGATCAGAAACAGATTTTTAGTCAAGACAGATTACCAATCAAATAAAAGAACCTGTCATAATACTTTCTCAAAACCCCATCTCTATTGCTGCTTTTCAACTGCCTCTTAAATAATCTCAATAGGGTTTACAGTAAAATTATTGAAAAAATAATATCAGCCCAAACTGAAGCTAATATTCTATCCATAAAAGTGCATTAGATGAGACAAGGGACTTGTGAGGTTCCATTTGTTCTTCCCAAATCTTTTCAGGCATTACAATAAAATGATAGTTTTCATAATCATTTTTAAAATAAACACTTGATTTTTTGAAGCCACATATATATATTTATAACTTTTAAGATGCATAACAAAATGAGTGAAATTGAGTTGTAGTTCAAATCTATGTTTTATGTTATTACAAGAAATACATGTAAAATAATTACCTGTTCAGCTTTAGGATTTAGAGGTTGAAGACTTAAATCTAGGTAAATGTCAGAACTTTTGAGATTATTTTCAGAGAATTGAAAACAGATTTCGGACATGTTCTGCACACAAACTTGTATATATTTCCTAAAATAAGAAAAAATAAAATTAAAAATAAGAAACTATTATAAAGAGGTATTGCTATATACAATTTAATTGAGTTGTGTGCACGCACGCATGTATATCCTTGCAGCAGAATTAACCAAATGAAAACAATAGTTTAAAAAAATGAGAAAAACATGCTAATTTACATTAGATTATACCCTAACCCAAAATTTAAATGATGTTTTAAGCAAAGATCTCATTTGAATGGTAAAATATCCCACCACACAATTGACAGTACAATTGTATATATACCTACTTAGAAGAGTCAAACTAAATTCAACAGAGCTTTCTCCCAAGGAAGTTGTAGGTTTGGAATTGCAGTTTAAAATATAAAAGGACCCTTTTAAACCCTTGGGATTAAAAAGTATTTTCAACCCTTCCTGCTCATTCAAACTACCTAATTCATAGTTTTGATAAGAAAAGCTTTTATGATGGAATAGAAAATGAGAATTTTGAATAAGTTACCTTATGCCTGCTGATAATAAGGAATGCTTGGCTTTAAAAGGTACACTGAAGGTAAGTGAAATAATAGTGGAGTAAATTGACCATGGACAATCAATGGTTACCTATATGAAACATATAATAAAATCATCTGATATATGGCTTAAAATTTCTATTTACAGACAAATAGTTGCTATATTTTTCAATTTTGGGCATGGAAGAGTAAGTGAAGAATATAGTGTAGCATAGCACATCCAATCCAATCCATTCCAATCCAATCCAGAATCCTGAATTAATTTATTACAGATTTATTGTCTTGCAATTCTTTCATCTCTGCATCAAATGCACAAAACAACCATTTTAAAGCAAACTAGTTGGAATAGCAAGCTTGAAAATGTATTCAAACTCTCTCAGGAATTGATGTGTATATATTTAGCAAAAATAATGCAAAACAATACAGAAACATTGGAAGATTAGCAAAACAACTCCAGGGATCAAAACAGCAGCACAGCAAACTATTAATATAGAAGTATTTGCCAGTTTGAAATGTGATATTGACATCTGAATTTCATTTTTAGTTAATTTAAATATTAATCTTTATTCATAATTTCTTACCTTTTGGTCAATCGTAGTCATGCTATTGTAAGATGTTTCTTTCTCTTTGCCTTTTTTCCTACACTCTTTACTTGACAGATTCTCATTTTCCATCATACATATTGGGACTGATGGTGAGTATAAAACTTCAAGTTCAAAGGTAATCACATGATAAGCAGGAACCATCGGTAAACTGATGCTTGTGATTTTTTCAGATGACTGAACAGTTAATGATGCTTCTGATACCTTTTCTAAAATTGTATGAAATATAAATTAGAGACTATAATTTATATTTGAATTAATAAATTATTCAGTTGGTAACATATAAGCAAATCCTGTGTTGACCTCCAAGTAACTATTTTGAATGTTCCAAGCATGAAGGAAAGTATGTGTTTCACAGTTTTATTTTATTTGTTCTGAGTATTGTAATTGTTTTAAGGGAGAAAGGAAGCAGAAGGAGATAACCAGCACCACATTCGTGATCAGCCATGCCCAAAATTCTATTGCTGTAGATTGGATGGGCTGGAGTGGAAGTTAAGTATTCAAAATAAAATAGGACTTAAATTCCTTGTTAGTCAGAAAAATAGCTGAGCAAAGTTTTTCTAAATTATTGTTATGAGAAAATTAAGGTTATGCATGTAGGAAAGGCCGCAAGTGTGCTGTATTCTTTTGAAGGCACATAATCCTAATATTTTAATAATGGTTGCTTGGTTGCTTATGATTTGGCAAAAATCAGTTTTGTATTAATATTTTAGATACATACATGCACAATGTGTATATGCATATCTATGTATATAAAATTACTATATTAATACAAAATTATTTCTTAAGCTTTTTATGGTTGTGCATTCTATGCATATTCTTATGCCTTGCAGAAGTTGACTTTCAAGTTTTACTGAGGAGGGTTTATTTTGTTTTCCTATGAAAAACTCTAGTTGCCTGCTAGATCACCCTACAACCAAACCTACTTCAGAAACTTGTTAGCACTAAGATAGAGAATTCATTGTGAAAACACATCCTCATTAATTGGCAACAGCAACAGATGTGTGGATGTTCTAAGACTTAATGTTACTTCTAATGCTATTTCCCTGTGTTTTAAACAGCATGGAAGAAAGGAGAAGTAAAACTTCAGAAATAGATTTGATTCTATTTAATTTTATAAATGTATGTATCAAATTTGGAAACTATCCATCACACACTCACAGAGCAACTATACACATATTATACCAAATCATAATAAAACGCAAACTGCAATTGTCACAAAATGTTGTTAAATGCAACAAAAAATAAGATCTCAGTGAAAATGGTGCACTATGTGTTAACAACTACAATTTCATTGATTGTTTATAATCTGGAATTTCTTTTATCATAGGATTAAAATGTAACAAAACTGAATATCTTGAGTGTAACAAAAAATCTAAATACCTTGAGTGTTTGAATAAATCACAGCTTTGCTTTCAGGATGGTACAAGACAGGCATAGCATCAGCATTACTTAGTTGTAATGCATCTCCACTCTTTATAGTATAGTGGCCAGTAGTCACTGTAAATTTTACCTTCTGAGGAATGCCAGCCAAAAGGCTATCTGGAGAATAATGAGTTGATAATAAGGGGTGTGGCAAAGGAATCATTGCTTGCATAACATAATTTGGATATTACTAAATCAACTGCACAAGATCTGTTTTACTGTGCCTAATTGCCTAACCCTAACCCTAATTTTTATCACATATAAACATTTAAAAATACAATACTGTGCCTGTAAGAGCTCAGAAAGTTCTATCATCTGTCCGTCCATCCATCCATCCATCCATCCATCCATCCATCCATCTTCCTTCCCCGTCTTGACAGTGTACATTAAAAAAGTTTGACAGTCTACATTAAAAACTCCAAAAAGTTTGTCCAATAACTGCTAAATTAACAGCTTAGCTAAAACAGAGACATACAAAAGGAACAAACAAAACACACATTAAGAAAACACTGTTAATTCTGTTATATTGGGACCACCAGAAAGGTAATAAATATTATTTACCAAAAAGTTTCAGTGAATCAAATCACAAATTCTCTGTAGAAACATAGAAAACTGATGGCAAAAAAAGACCTAGTGGTCAATTGAGTCTACCCTTTAAGGTTTCTAGGTATCTAGAACTGGACACATTATTCCAAATGGGCTCTGACTAATAAATACTCTATGCAGTGGGATTATGACCTCCTTTTTGCTGCTTGTGATCCCTCTAGTAATGCATCCCAAAATTTTGTTTGTCTTCACAGCTGTTTGCCATGCTGTTTGCTATGAGCACACCTAAATTTGTTTCTTCTGTTGTTCTACCACTGTACCCCCAATACTATACCCTGCCAGAGGATTCCTTTTCTTCCAGGTGCATGATCGTATGATTTAGAAACAATAAACTGCAACGTTCACATTTTTGAACAATTTTCCAGCAATACCAAATCATTTACCATGTTATGAATAGCCCCATATCAACTCTATTACACATATCGACTCTATTACACATATGGGTATTATTTCAGCATTCACAAAACAATAAAATGCTGTTCTCAAATATCCTGTTTGCTATCACATAATTCTATCATATGAGTATTTCACTTTCATTTAATTATCTATGAAAGATCTCAAGCAAACAGCTTTATAAGTAGAGATTATTTGTAGAACATCTTGTTTTAGATGAAAAAGGAGCTGAGTATTTTCATCCATTAGAAACAGCTTAAACCTTCACAATGAACACAGGGAATGAAGGCAGTGCCAGGAACTCACTCTGTTACGTTCCATATTTTTATGATATTCTCATATATTACAACAGATACACATTTAAAAAATATTTAATGCCATTACATGAACAGTGAAGTTCATTTAACAGTTCCCCTGAACTCATCAAGCTATGATATTTACTCTTGATTTTAAAGAAATTATTATATACTGCAGTAAGAAAAAGTTTGTAAACTCTTTAGAATTATCTGCAATAATGCAGTACTGTGACTTCTAATAAGATCTGAGATTTAAACTGCTATTAATGGAGCATTCACAAATATAAAGAATTAACACACTTTTTCTCAACACTGAGACACTTCCATATTGTAATCATTAATAATCAATTTCAAGGTTTAAATGTGTAAATTCCCAAAACAAATAACCAATAACATCTTTAAATATGTGTAAGCTATCACTTAGGAACAATCAAATTACATTTGGTCCAAATACATTATTATTATTATTTTAAATGATTAATGGAAGATAGCTGCAAGGAACTTAGTCCTCACAAGTTAGTTTGCAGTTTTTCTGATTGAGAAATAATTTTAAAACTATAAGAAATAATAACGAAGTACAACTTCTAATTATTTACTTACCAGTACATGGTTCCACTTTTAGCTGTGGCTCCTGAGAATAGATATCATACTGCACAATTGGATAAATATGAAGTAGAACAAATTGCATTTTGCCCACTGAAAGGCATAACTGCCTAAGTGTATATGTTCCAGGTTCTTTGCCCTATGAGAACATTTGAAGTATTTATATATTAAACTTCTTCTCAAGAAGGCTATTTGTGCAAAGCAAGAGATTTAACATCTGATCAGCATATAATTACACGAAATAGAATGCATTTTTCATCCTCATATAACCACTGGTATATTCTGTATTTTTATGAACAGAACAAAAAGACCTAACACAGCTTCAGATTCACTTTTATATTAAATAATTTGAACTTACATTAATTTGAAGAGGAGTATCATCTAGTTTCTACTTCCAACCATTCCACCCTGTGAATATTGAACTGTGTTCTGCTATATGTAGCAGGAAAAGCATATGCAGGCCAACCAGCCACAGTGAAGCTCTTCTTTACATAAATAAATTCATCGCATTAGGAATTGTGCTATTTCGTGTACATACATGTTTGAATTGGCCATTGTTAGTTAAATTTTCACCTATGACCAGTTATTATTTGATGGTCTTACCAGGCCCCTCAATATCATGAGAATTTTCAGTTTTAAGAATGGAATGTTTTTTTGTGTCATGTTAATTGATTTCAAACCGAGTTTTGGGTTTGCTTTGCTTTTTGATCTTTCCTGTTTATCTTTATTTTTTGTATTGGTCAATGTTTCTATGTACACAGTACAGTGGTATTTAAAAGCTTGTGTATCCTTTGGAACTCTCAATATTTCTTCATAAATATGAGCTAAACTATTCTCTATTCTCTATGCAAATCCTAAAATGAGATAAAAAGAACCCAATTAAACATGTGAGTCAAAAATATTATACAGGTGAAACTCAAAAAATTAGAATATCGTGCAAAAGTTCATTTATTTCAGTAATGAAACTTAAAAGGTGAAACTAATATATGAGATAGACTCATTATATGCAAAGCAAGATAGTTCAAGCCAAGATTTGTCATAATTGTGATGATTATGGCTTACAGCTCATGAAAACCCCAAATCCACAATCTCAGAAAATTAGAATATTACATGCAATCAATAAAACAAGGATTGTACATAGAACAATATCAGACCTCTGAAAAGTATAAGCGTGCATATGTACTCAGTACTTGGTTTGGGCCCCTTTTGCAGCAATTACTGCCTCAATGCGGCGTGGCATGGAA